TATCTACTTAATTTAATATTCTCAGTCATTTGTTGTAGAAAATGTAAGAAAAGTATAAAAAACATATTGTAACTATCCAGGTTCTAGCTCTAAGTTGACTTGTCAGCGTGTTTTGTCGGTCCATAATTATTCAAATTCAATTCAAATAACTTTATTTATCCCAAAGAAGAACAAGACACATGGAAAAAGGTGGCTGATGTCATTTTAAAGATCTTGCCACATTGGTATGAGAAGTTGGATCTGATTCTGGACAGTGTGCATCGCCTTGGTACCACCATAAACGGCCGCCACAGGCAGATCATTATGCAGTTTTTACTGATGGGATGGACTCTGACTCTGGTCACCCCATCTGCAGAGAGTTCGGCATAAAGTTAGCGGAGGATCTCGCCGAGGAAGAAAGAGAAGCACGTCTCGCTGTGCGGCCAAAAGTGGAGCAAGCATGGAAAGCTGGGCAGAAGGTGGTCAACAGAGGAGGGCATGCATACATCAATGGACAGAAAATGATTCCTTAGTTAGCATCCTCTGTTGGGTGTTGAATCCCTAAATGTGAGTTAAATGTTCATGCTCAGGGTTCAGCCACCTCTACGTCTTTCTATACAAAGGTAACACCCATATTTTGTGTTGTACATTGTTCCTTATTATATGTTCTGTTTAAAAAGCTATTTATCCTTCATTTCTATCAATGCAAGGGCCTTAAGAGATGTTACCAAAAGAAAGAGTTTTTGTCTCATTTTGTAAAGGGAGAAATGCTCGTATCATTTTATTACAAGAAACTCATTCAAATCCAGAAGACGGTACTTTTTGGTGTAAACAATGGGGAGATGGAGCATATTTCTGTCATGGCACCTCAAGGTCAGCAGGAGTTGCTATTTTGCTGAAAAACTCATCTCTCAACACAAACATGACCGTGGTCACTGGTTAACCCTTATTCTTGACATAGACAGTTTTAAAATTATTTTGATAAACATATATGGATACAACACCACAAGCCAAAACCCATCACTACTGGAAGAAACAGCCCTTCAGCTCCACGTTTTC